GGAACATAGATGCTTTTATTAACGAGGGTCTACCACTACCAAGCAAGATCACCATTGCTTTAACAGATCTGAAAGGTGATACAAATGTTGCAGATAACATGAAAGAAAATAAAGCCCAGTGGCATAAGCGATGCATGTCAGAATTGGCACCTTCAAAGCTTAAGCGTGCTTTAGAATCCGCTGCCAATAAAAAGCATAAAATTGAAACACTACCTGTCAATGCACTATCTAAAAGAACACGTTCTAGCCTGGATGCAAAGACACAATTACAATCTTGTCTGTGCTTATTTTGCAATGAACCAGGTGTATTCACAACAGAATATATAAAGTTGAAACACCCTCATGCTCGGCAGAAACGAATGTGTAAAGTTAATACTGATAACTGCGATTACTTGATTACTTTGTTAGAAAGGCTGCCGCTGAGATGGGAGATTCGTTGCTACTAGCTAAGCTATCTGAGGGTAACTTATTTGCAAGAGATGCTTGCTACCACCATCAATGTTTCACAGAATTCAGAAACAGATATCGGACATTTCTGACACCCGAAAATCCCGACACTGCTAGGATGAAAGACATTGAAAACTCTGTACTATCTGAAACATTGATGTATATTGAAGAAAATCTTGCAACGAGTACAGACACTGACGTAGCGACATTGATAAAATTGTCTGACATAAGAAAGTTTTATGACCACAGTTTAGCAAGGTTGACTGGCAAGGAAAGTAATGTGAATGTTACACGGCTTAAAGATAAGATTCTCTAATTAGATGGTGACTTGCGAGTTGTTTCTGATAAGAAAGAAATCTATATTTCGTACAAAGATGATTTGGTGGCTGCTTTGAAATATGCAAGTTGATCTGAAGTTAATGATGTAATGAGTCTTTGTTGGCTTGGCAGAAAAATCAAAGCTGAAATAGCTGATAGAAAACAAACATTTAATGGTCATTTAGAAGAAAATTGCCAAGAACAGTAAGTGTCTCCCACATTTTTGTTGTTAATGTATATGCTGACTGGGTTTGAAAGCACAGATGATGTAGAATCGTCCAAATTGTCTCCTGCCTTAGTGTTGGCACAGCTGCTTGCCTTTAACTCGGCTAAAAACAGGAAATCAACTAGAGTCTTTTGTAATAATGCAGATCATGAAACACCAGTAGCCATATATATTGCATTTCTAATTCATTCGAAGACTAGAAGCAAGGACTTGGTGAACAGACTTCACTCTCTTGGGTTATGTATCTCTTATGACCGCCTTTCAACTTTATCGACATATCTAGGGAACAGTGTTATCGATCAGTTTGACAAAGATGGACTGGTATGTCCTAGCTCGTTGAGATGCAATCTTTTCACCACACAAGCTGTTGACAATATCGACCACAACCCAAGCTCTAGGACCGCGAAAGATTCGTGGCATGGCACTCACTGCCATATCTACCTCTCAGCATCTCAAAGACAAAGATGATGGAACTTTTCGGCCGTCTCTTGATTTGCAGAAAGACAAACTACAATCAAAGTTATTAAAGCAGCTTCCTACAGAGTACACTTCCATTTTGCCATGTGTCCTGAAGAAGAAAGACATAGTCACGCCCACTAAAACTGGAGCAAGTCAGGAAGTGAGTATTGCATTATCCTTTGGCTTTGTTACATCAGTCTGTGGTGAGTTTAGTGTCGGCCATGGTAACAACAGCATTCATAAAAATTCAACCTAAGATTGATGTTCTTAAACACTGCGGCCAGCGCTGAACCCTTGTAGATGTATTTTAAAGTAATTGCGTTCGTTTTCAGGTGATTGGCTCAGTGGAAGTGGTTGGGTTCATTTGCTGGTGTTATCGAAAGTAGCCACGCCAGGGAAGGCCAATGCAATGCTAACTGCTTTCTCCAACATCACATTTTGTCGTTATCTCCATCAAGTTACAGCATGTGTCCTATATCAACACAAGAAGGAGGCATATAAGTTGTATTCTAACTCGACAGCAACTCCGGTACCTGAGGCGGAGTGGTCCAGTGCAAACCTGCAACATCCCATGTTCAAATACTGGTCGATCACACTGAAGATGGAGCTGATCTTGCTGCAATTTGTCAAAGCCATAAGATCGGCAGATTTCAACATGCATGTGAATGCCTTGCAGCTGATAGCACCATGGATGGTTGCCAGTGCATATATATAGTATGGTCACACTCGAAGAGATTCACCCAGATGTATACGAACAGTTTACATATGGCTTCTTCACCGCGCAGAAATCGAACAGGAAGTTCTCCCACATCGGATTGGACCATAACCACGAACAAATCAATGCCAAAATCAAAGGTGTTGGGGGAGCCATCGGTCTTACGGAAAACGATGCATCTCTCGCAAAGTGGCTGATTGCAGGACCCGAAGTTTCGCGCATGGTAGAGGAATTCGAGGAGACAAGCATGATACCAGAGTCAAACAAAGTTTGCAAACACCACGATTCCAACGCATCTGCGCAGAGACATTTTAAATTGGACGTAAAAGGAATGCACGACGCGTTAGCTGAGTTGGGAAATCCCTTCATAAATGACAGTGCGGACCTTTTCGCATTAGACACAAAGATAGTTCCAGGAACAGAGGCTATTAAGCACCTCTATGCTGTTGAAGCGATTGGCCAAGAACAGTTTAAAAACTTCATGGACACTCGCATACTGAAAAACAACCCTATTTCAGATACCATCGTTAAAAACAACATGCAGATCTTCAAATGTGTAAAGGCAAGAAAGACCACAAAGAAAGACGCACAGCCGAAAACGGCGAGAAGCAATATGCTGCCCTGTACTCGAAGCTATTTATCGCTTGTCAAAGCAGAGATGGAGACCTCAACCAATTTTTCTCCCACGAAAACCAAGGAGCACCTCCTAGCCTTTCAGAGAATGGAAATTTAAGACCAGCAAAGAACAAGTCGGGTATTTATTTTTTTCTCAATGAATTGATATGATCGAACATAGCCTTGTGATATGATAACACACATCGGTAAACACGTCCAAAGTTATATATATATATGTATATATAACCACTATTCATTTATTTGCAGGTATTATAGCGTCCATTTTGGACGTGGAACACACAGAACGCAATGAATCGCCAGCGGTTGATGCAAAAGTGCTTGACGGACTGGCGATTGTAAATATGCTGAAGCCAAATGACTGCAAGACATTCGCAGACTACATCTCAAGTGTCATCCAGCCTTACATCAAGCTTCATCTGAGGTCAGCCACACAAATAGATTTGGTGTTTGATAGGTACTTTAAAGATAGTTTAAAGTTTGGTACATGATCAAACCAAGGTTCCGGTGTGAGAAGGCTCGTGAAACCAAATGGGAGTATGCAAAACAATTGGTCAACGTTCCTCCGGTATGACGAAAACAAGACAGAACTGTTTCCGCTAATTGTCAAATCATTGACCGAGAACATTAACTGCGCTCATGGAGTTTTCGTTGGGACTGTCGAAGATGGGGCGGTTTCAAACCAAGCTGATGTCGATCTTGAGCCATTGATGCCATGCAACATCGAAGAGGCAGATGAGCGTATGTTTGTGCATGTCAGAAATGCTGCTGAAGAATGTTCCCGTATTCTGGTCAAGACCGTGGATAGTGATGATGTTGTGATTGCTCTTTCAGCTTTCCACAAAATACCCGGCCTCCAGGAGTTGTGGCTCGTGTTTGGAGTCCGGAAGCATTTGAGGTTCATACCAATTCACGAGATTGCCAATTCCCTCGGACCCCAGACCTCCACTGCTTACCTCTTCTTCCACTTGTTTAGTGGCTGCGATACCACCTCATCACTCCATGGAAAGGGTAAGAAGTCGTTTATTGACACCTGGAAGAAGATGGCCAGTGCAACACCTGTATTCGAGAAAATGGCAACGTCTCCGAGAGATATAAGTCAAGCCGACAGAGACATTATCGAACAATTTGTTGTAATCATCCCTTACAATTTTCTCCAGCTAATAGTGAATACCAAAATCTGATGTAAATCAATGTTAAATATCACAGCAAACGACAAAATATTTGTATTGCGAATCCGTAGTTTGTGTTATTTTGCGCCAATTAACCGTAAAATAATTCACAACAAATTTTTCGTCTTACACCTACAACACAGTAGAAGGCTAGAAAGTGAATGCATCACCTACGTCATGGTAGATTTGATTTGCAACCATTAGGCAACAAATAGCTTATGACTACTTCAAGCCCTGCCAGGCCCCCCTATTGCTAGTGCCCTGTCTTAGGGAACTTGAGGCAGCAATAGATGATACACTAGCCGGACAAATTTCATCTGTGTTTACATTGCAGTAACAGGACAATGCTCTGTTTAATGCCTAAGGGCTATTTCCTATTTAGCTATTTTGTAAGGGCTATTTCCTATGTAAATATTGTGAGCTATATTGCCTTGCAAATATCAATAATGTACCCAAGTTTGACGAATTGTCTCCAATAATGCCTCAATAATCGATTTTGTGTAAATTCCGTCTGGTGCGTCAGTTCCTTGATAAATATATTGGAACAAATATTGTATAAATGATATTGTTCAAACCATTACAGTTAATAATTATCATGAATAATATATACAAATGTGCATTTTTTATATTATGAATGATATTATATAGAACTAGAGGTGATTATTCAAAATTACTTTGTGGCAATGAGGATCTCTGTGATTTGCTGAGGGACTTGACAAACATTGAGCTCTTTAATGACAAGAGTTTTATGCTTTCCATCCATACGTCAAAGAGAAATCACATGTATTCCAGTCAGACAATACTGCGTTTTCTGCCACAGCATCTGATTCTGCATTGGGTGATGGGTACAACAGGAAAGATCCCAGCAGCAGGGTGATGGTTGTAAAAAGAGAAGCCATCAGAAATACTAGTGGTGGAACCTATGCCTCTCTTATGTGTGTGTTTGGCTTGTCTTCGGTTACTGGAATGAATGTTACCTCAGTTTACCCAGAAAAGCTATTTGGCTTGTCTTCGGTTACTGGAATGTGTGTTACCTCGGTTTACCCAGAAAAGGTATTTGGCTTGTCTTTGGTTACTGGAATGAGTGTTACCCAGAAAAGGTTGGGCAGGAGACCAAATATTCACAATTTCAAAATGGAACTATATGGCCATGACTATTCCATAACAACCTTAAAACTAAACTTGTCCAGGAAGCTAAGCTAATTCTTATGTGAACAACTCGTGGTATCCATAATCTTCCTGGGATGAGCAAGGATTTTCAGCCAAATCATTTTGTAGCACTTGTGGAATTTATTACAAAGTATGCAGAGAAGAAGAAATTACCTCAACAACAGAAAATTACCTACCTGTTTAGATCTGAAAGCATGGAGAAGGAAGAAGGTACTTCTGAAGGTAAGCAGACGATGCCTTAAGGCTCCTTTTACTTGCGTAGTGTTTACAAGTATGTACTATGTACTTAACAGTTGACCCATTAAGGTGCACCCAGCATTATTTTAATATTTTACTAATTTACTTTGCAGCTGTAGGAGTCAAAAGGCTAATATTATTATTACTGTAACACAATGCCTGACCGAAACTTATCATGTCAGTCAAATGGGTTAATAATATTGTTTTGTCTTTTCAATATAACTAATTTTCAAGTTTGTTATGGCTTTAGGATTCAGATCAGTGGTTTGAATCACAGTAAACTATGCAAAATTTGTTGTCTTTTCATTTTAATATTTTTATACATGTGCCTTTAAACTGAAATGGCAATAATCCAATAAAAATTAAGTTTGTTTCAAGTTCTTTGTATGTTTGCATGGCGATAAAATATAATAGTTTTGTCTTTGGAAACACCACGTAAATTTATTACTGCAATATGATGAAATCTCGCCCACCCAAGTGTGCGGGTTTCCACCTTGCTTTTCCTACAGTGAATTTCCAGCAGTTTCCCGTCTTTTCACAGAGTTTTTTCACTAGGTTTTAAATTAGCTAGGACCATGAGACTCCGGCAGTACAACCATATATAGTTGACTTATAAAGCCCCAGTGCAATGTTCCAAGTTGCTCAAAGGGGCGGGTGAAATCTCGTCCACCCAAGTGTGCGGGTTTCCACCTTGCTTTTCCTACAGTGAATTTCCAGCAATTTCCCGTCTTTTCACAGAGTTTTCTCACTAGGTTCTAAATTAGCTAGGACCATGAGACTCCGGCAGTACAACCATATATAGTTGACCTATAAAGCCCCAAATTTAGAGAATGGATATTTGAAATTAGGGAAGTTATATTAAGAAATGGCAAATTACCAAGCTGTGTTATCCTGTCAACAGTGACATTTGGAATTGTTACTTCTAGACATTTCAAGGTATTAGTGATACTCAAATAATTTTAATAAGGCATTATATTGTAAGATATTTATTAAAAATTAAATGATACTTACAATGTTGTGTGGGTTAAATCAGCTTGAGCGCCGTTGTCCATTCTCTATAAGGTTACTGAGCAGTAGGTACGTTGCAACCCATCTCGAGCGAATCAACACGTTATTAAATGGGGAAGATGCTGTTTTTACATACATGGGGGACCAGGAGGACCAGGTAGAAAAACCGATAGCCATGGCCATTGCCTCTGCAAGCGTTTATAGGGGAGATGTTCATCAGAGTTGAATTGGCGCAGAACAAACACCTACAGGCAGATGGAACAGCAATGGTGTTTGGACTGTTACTTCTGAACATTATTAAGGGGCTGTTCATATGGTCTCGCTTGCCGAGATGAAATTACAATGTAATTCTATGATTAGCATAGTTCTACATTTCAGTCAAGCAACACAAATACTTAGCAATTTTAGTGTTTTTCTAAGTTTATTTACAAGGACAAGTATATCTCAGGATCATATGAACAGGCCCTAAGCCATGGCCTAGCCTAGGAAACATTGTTGCGGAAACATTTGTGATTATCGATGCTTCCAGAGAAGCAAAAATGTTTCCTAGCAAATTCAGAAACATTTGATGTTTCCCTATGTTTCTCACTAATGTTTCCTAGTGTTTGGTCACTCTGGCAGGAAACAATGTTTCTGCAACAATGTTTCCTAGAGATATTTATTAAAAATTGAATGTTCAATACGAATTTCCTTAGGAAATTCTTTTACCGTAATATATACCGCTTTATAGATACCACATTTTTAAAGATTCCACAGATACAAGTACACCATTGTTTTAATAATATCAGCCATGTTTGTTTTGGATTCCGTCGTATTCCAATCTTATCTCGAAGGTGGTCGGAATCATCTGAACAAACTGTAATTGATGGTATTATATTTCGATACCACTTCTGTTATTCATTAAGCCATCGCTTTATTCAATTTGTGTTTGAGGATTTTTGAATAACCTTTTTTTCTTCGCCCATTTTTCTAACTTGCCATTTATTCAAAAATCCTCAAAACCTAGAATAAAATAAAGCGACTGCTATATAACTTTGTAAAATTTTAATATTTCAAAGCAAACTTCCTTATTAAAAATAACAAATATTGCTTGAGAAATCTTGTCTGTGTCAGTTAAGTTCTCTGAAGTTTTGAAATACATAACTTAAAATAGCAGGGTTTCAAATGCTTTAACCGACGATTTATTAAATACCGCTGCTATCGATCGATCTGATATGAGTTTATTGGAGAACTAATTTTAACTATAAACATTGCCTATTCCGTGAAAATCAAAGCTCAAGTTTATGTAAAAATGAACATAAATTTTTCATCACACATAAAACAACCGTCACCGACGTGGTAGTGATGTCCTTTGTTTTTTCTTCATGATTTATTAATAACTTTTTTAATCATCTTCTGAGTAGTATTAAAAATGATGTCGTTTTACTGTCATAATTTTGTACATAAACTTTGTATATTTAAACCTTAATTGAAATTAATATAATTAGTTATATAAACGACCGTTACACATAATTTAAATGTATCAAATGTAATTCAAAATTCAAAAATATATAATGTTCGTAATTTTAAAACATTGGCAAAAACATGGAGAATTTCAAAGCGGTTATTGAGCGGCGTTCTCCATTCTCAATAAAATTACTCGGCCGCAGGTACGTCGTAATCCATCTCGAGCGAATCAAAAGCTTATTAAATAGGGAAGATGCTATTACCAGCTGCCTGGACATGGGAACTTACAGGCAGTACGTGGATGAGCTGGAGCATAACTGGGACGACAATATTTACATGGGATGCTGCGTGGTGCGCAAGGAGGACCAGGCAGAAAAACCGATAGCCGTGGCCATCGCCTCTGCAAGTGCATACAGGACAGATGTCAGGAGGCCGACGGAGCTGAATTGGCGAAGAACCGATGCCAACAGGCAGAAGCAACAACAATGGTGTCTGGATTATTTGGTGAGGCGCAGGGTATTTCGTGGTAGTGGGGTTGGTTGCTTTGCACTTGTTGGTTTGATGGAGTGCTTCTGCAGTCGTTTTGGTTATGCCATTTTGTGGCTGTTGCTGGCTTCTGCAACAGAAACGTGCTCTCTTTGTACACAGATGTTGGGTTTCTTGTCATGTCGCTTCACTCTGACAAGAATCGCATCATGTCGTTACAAGTCCAGGACATCGGACCGAGAGTGCGCAGAAAGTTGGTAAGACACCTTAACCTTAAGGCATGGAGCGGCGGCTGCAGAACAGGATGGTGATGGTGGGTGGTGGTGATGGTGGTTAAATCTTGCAGGAAAATAATTTGAATTACGAAATGTGTGATAGGACAAAGTATAATTGGTTTCCTATGGTGTATGCATGTATTAAAACAGCATATTAGGAACACATGTAAATGAAGTGTGCTATTCCTATTTGAAAAGAAACAGCAATTAAAACGGAACATATTGTTCCTAGTTGACCTTAATTGTTCCGCTACACTTATTTCTGAAAATCAGAACGGTTTAAATGAGGAACAATATTAATTGTTGTTCCTTATTTAGGAACAAAATGTTCGGCGCAGCAAATCCTTAAACAAATAGCTTTTGAAGCGGAACTATATTTGTTATGCAGATGCTGTTCCTTTGTGTTGTTCCCCTTTATTGTTCCCTTTTCTTGTTCCCTTTTATTGTTCCGTTCTTAACGAAGCGTATTAATTTAATTAACAATAAATTTTACACAATGCAATGTTGTGGGCCATTATAAGCAAATATTATTAATGCATTGTGCACACAAAATATTTACTATAAAGACCAAGCTAATTTTACTCACGTAGCATTTGCTCGTTTTACATGTTTGCACATAGAAAAGCTCAAATAGATTGGAAGTCTGTAGATGGTGCATTTACAAAACCAAGGCGATTGCATTTGGCTAAAGGCACCGATGGGTCAGACCATTGCCCAGTAAAAGGATGTGAACATTCAGCATTTCAAAGTTGAAGAGGCTGTCGTAAACATGTTAAAACAAAGCATGGTTGGTATTACTATTTTGATGAAAAGCCCAACGTGTGCCTTTCGCCGTTTGCAAGCACAGAAACTCAGCCAAAGGGGTGTAAAACAGTTCCTGGCTGTTCCACAGATAATGACTTTGCTCGCTCATTTTCCAAGTGGCTTCGAAACAGCTGCAGTGGCGGCAAATCTCTCAAACAATCGGACATTTCAGTTAGCAGAGCGTTAAAGTTTATAAAGTTTTGTTGTGACGAGAATGGCGACGGCGAAGAAGACGTGCTAAATTCTCCTAATTTGTTCGATTATGCCTTGGGGTCTCCACAACTGTTAACAAAATTTGTGGACAGTCTAAAAGAAAAATGGGGTCTTGGACAATCAGCACAAATTTCTTACGTGGCAAGTATTTCAGATTTACTGGATTTTCGCAAATTTAATCGTCCCAGTGCATCAGTGCTTCAAAACTTTGCCGTTACCGAGGTGTATGTGAAAAGAGCAAGAAAGTGTTTAGCAAAGGACATGAAATCAAATTGGACAACCGAATTAGACATAGAGACCCTGGAATCGCGTAGAAGTTGGGCAACCCTTTCTGAAGTACAATCTGTAATTCCATTTCACAAGGAACGTTATAAATCTGTATTAGAAAATTGTATTGTATCTCCTTCAGTCAAAACTGGCGATGTGACGTTTGCCACCCGATTCGTTGCGGCTTGTATGTTCCTGAAAGTGAAAGGTTGTCGTCCAATGACCTACCAGCATCTAACTTTGCGAATGTTTGAAAGTGCAAAAAGGAACGAAGGAATGGTTGATCAGAAAATATTCAAGACGGCTAAAAGATACAGCTTTGATAGTGTATATTTTGACGAATGCAGCATCGAGTTATTGGAGAAATATATCATGTACATACAACCCGTTCTTACACCCACTTGCGAATTTCACAATTTCAGAAACTTACAGATCTTTTCAGTGTGTTGGTGTTCGAAGCTATCGGAAAATACATTCACCCAACTAAATACAGAGTGTCATACGACACTTAGAAAAAAACTACACCCGGCTAGTTTTATAGTTAGTCGGTCTTGGATTCTTGAAGTGTCGTTACTCAGCAAAGTTATAGGGTTGACACTTAGAAAAAAACCCAGCAACCTCGTTCTATACTATTTATGATGAAAGTAAATACATTTGAGACTTAGAAAAAAAATCAACTACCAGCTTAGTGCTGGACTATATGTATATGTATGTATGTATGTATGTATATATGTATATATGTATATGTATGTATATATGTATATATGTATATATATATATATATATATATATATTTATTTATCACATACTTGTACCTTTTTCAGGTAGGAAGCAGCGGGACATAAAAACGATATCGTCCCGGATATCGTTTTTTTGTCCCGGATATCGTTTTTTTGTCCCGCTAAATTTCGCGCCTTGTCAAAACAAAGATGGCCGACTCGAGGTTCGTGTTGGTTGATGTCGACAGTTTTATCGAAGGAAACAAGAACGATAATACAAAACGAAAGTATATTATTTATATGAATGGTCTATTTATTTTCTAAAATCATATTAAATTTGTTCAGTAAATGATGAATTTTTTTTAATTCTAAAATGATCCTATTTTTTCAAAACTGTTTTCTTGGGTGTCAAACCCTGATAAAGGTACAAGTATATAATAAATAGGTTATCGTACTCGGGATTCGGTGATATCAGTTTAATCGCTCTCAGGACGATATCACAATTGTCCCTCACTCGCTGCGCTCGTGACAATTGTGATATCATCCCTCGAGTGATAAAACCTCATCCCTTATATGATAACCTATATATATATGTATGTATATATATGTGTATATATATATATGTGTATATATGTATATATGTATATACCAATTAGTGAATATTTTTATTGGACTGGCCAGGTATGATAGTACCAACTACGATTAACAGACTCTTATAATTTAAGAATTACAACATAAATAATTGCAGATGATATAAACAAAGCACTCGTGTATTATTATAGGGTATCGTTCGACGCTCGACATTTTCGTTTTCATGAAAGTCTGGTACGGTGTTGGTGGTTATGTAGCATGGGCTGTGGTAATTGACATGTTTTGGTGCAGCGTGCTTTACGGCAATAATCATCCAACCACCTTGGAGGATCGTCTTCGCTAGATCCGAGCTCATCGTGCTTGCAGACCATTTGTCAATCATAACGAGTTGCATGTCGTCGTTGATAATTGAGGCGGAAAACTGATGCTCGTTCATGACGGACATGATGTACTGGGATTATACAATGAAAAACATATGCCCATGATGTCTTTCCTGAATCCTGTGGTCCTGAGACAACCAGTTTCTTCGTTTTTTTTGCGGCATTTTGTGTGCCAGTAAGCACTGATAAAATTTATTTAGCAAATTCAAACGCACTTCTTCATCGGGAAACGAGTTGTACACGCCTTCGCAAAAGTAGCGAGGTTCAGGTGGTGAGGAACAGCCGTAGGGGATGTATCCTCGCGGTGACAACTTGCCAATGTTAGATTCCCGAATAGCATTGGGTAGGAAGGCTCGACTTGAAATGGCAAAACAAAAACTGTTTGATACTTCGATAAGATTAAAATCAAAATGTATCTGTGGTATTATCTCACACGCTGGATGGGAAAGTATGGTTTCCACAGCTTTCAAGTGTTTCACCAGGTGTTTGTTGATGGCATCTTTGGCAAGTTTGTTCAAATAGCTCGAAACAATCCATTAGGCTGATTGTACGTAAACTGGGCTGTATTCGGTCTGGCATAAATTTGACCACGGTACAAGGCGTGTTTGGACAAATGCATAACCTGTTCGACTTTGCGTATAGTTGATATAACATCGTTTGAAGGTGTACCCGATGAACGTGTGTCCAATTCTGTGCAAAGCGTCGTTTCCACAAGGAGCCCGTCTGATTGTAGTTTTTCTATGGCATTGTCGAATTCCTGCAGATACCCATCATGATTGACAATGACGAAACAGGAAGGACAGGTTGGAAAATGGGTCGGAACAAATTCTTCGTTCTCTTCTTCATCTTCGGTTTCACTCGAAGCATGTGCATTCTGGTAGCAGTAGGTGTTGGACATGTCCACCATCTCTTGGACGGTAGCATTATTGTGATCTTTCAGTATCTGAAAGAGCTGTCTGGCTGCAGTTTCGAGATCCGGTTTCCAGCGGTTTCGCACCTTGATAGGCATTATTTCCAGTTCGACGTCCTGGTTGTGTAACACGGCAAAGAACGTCTCCTCGTTGCATTTTTCGTTGCATTTTTGCACCGTCAATAGCTTCGATCACATCGTTCAACAGCAATCTTTTGGAAGCAATCTGTTGTGTAGCAAGTTCAAGGTCTTCATTCCGAACTCTCCATGTCGTGCGACTGCTCGATGCTTAGGTTTTAGCTCATAGATATAAAAGAGCGATTATATTTACGTTATATCCAGGTTGCGTACAAAGGTTTATTAATTTTCACAAATCCAAAAACAATTTGATGCAAACTTACCAAGGTTAAAATATTTGCTCGAAGCGAGTTTTGTAAACGTTTGGAATCAAGTTCCTTTTGTGGTTTGAGTGGCATTTTGTAACAAAAATTGTTGTCTGCAGCGAACGCCTTTCTATATGTTTTAGTATGATTACTGTAATTTACATAGGGAACAATATTTTGTACAATGGTGGTGATGATGATGGTGGTGGTGGTGGTGGTGATGATGGCGAATACGCACAAAGGTTAAGAAGGAGAGTGAGAAGAGATGGAGTACGACGACAAGCCGGACAAGGTGTGCTCGGAGATATGGAAAACCTTACCTTCCGTAAGATCGAAGACCACCTTACCATCATCAGTGGCCAATTGGTTCTGCCAGCACAAACAGGCGGCACGGAACAGGCGATGATTCAACACCTCTGGGCATTATCCGACAGGGCAGCCCTTCATCTCCAATCGATATCCTTCCTTATTCATCTCAACGTTGCCACACTATCGCATGCAGAAGACGTCTACACATATCGAGATGGATAGCGCTGCAAAGGCAGGACAACAGAGAGAATCCAGAATGGAACAGGCAGTTCACTGGTTCTCTCGCAAATGATGTCCTGCTTTTGTGGCAGGTTTTTCGTATGCCATGTTTGCAATTGTTGGAGATTCGCTATGCCGCTTTGTGTCGTCCTCGTGGACTTAAGGATATTGTCCGTTCGTGCCAACAACTTGTCGATGTCATTGCGCAAGAACAACTGCACAAGTACGTAATTCAAAATGCACCTGTTGGCTAAATCGAGTTGCAAAGTTGGCTAAATCGAGACGGGGATGTTGTCATAATTGACCAGTCATTGTCTGCCTTGCTCTGGGGAAACATCGAAGCGAAGATTGGCAGGCGCGGGAAATTGCTGGAAATAAATTTAAGTTTGTTTTGTTTGAAAGAACTCTTATAATTGTATAATTGTATATGAAGATGCTTATTATTGTATTTGCAGTATGTAAGCTAATAATTATACGGAATGTTGTTAATAACTTATTAACATGTATGTACATCTCTTCTTGAAATACCACATAGTTATGTTAACAGCGATATCCCTGTCTGTTGTGACCATCATAGCATATCCCAGGCTGGGGTTATGATGATGGTCACAAGTCCCAGGTATAACATGAAATATAAAAATAATATGGTCACTAAACAATGGAGTAGTATACACCCTGTTCACTGGTCAAACTATCTCTAAAACCAATCAAAGTGGAGAAATTGTAAAGAGTTGTTTCATTGGGACAAACCCTGTATGCCTTATAAGTAAATATCATAATCTCTTATTCTGATGTATACTCTATATGTGTATCATTCAAGAATATCATTACATCCTGGCAATGTAACACATGTAGAGTGGCCTTAATATATTGTTCTAAATTAAAGTTAATGTACAGGTATAAACCTGTACTACCTGTAGCAAATTTATTTTCATTTACAGCTTAACTGCATATGTAAATAAACTTCCTAGTATAGATTTATGCATTTGCTTTTTGCCTATCTATCATTATATAAACAATTTAATTGTGCATCACTGACTTTATGAATTGTGTGATGTTTGGATTGGTCCATTGATGTCCATAAGATAATGGTCTTTGACCACATGTAGTAAGTTGGTCACATAGCTATACGATATATATGTGTTGCATATTTTCTTCTGCAGAGCCTCCTGCACTTGCAGGTCAGAATGTTGTAGACGAGAATATTCCAACAGCAAAAGAGCCTTCTTTTCAACAAACAATTGCTGATGATGGCAACTGATGGTATCCATATTAAGATTTGTGTCCATGGCAGGAATTGATGATGACACTAAGTTTAATTTAATCAACAATCACTGGAAGCCACCCCCAGATTTCAACTTTCCTTCTTCTGAAATTTCACGCAGAACGTTTTGTGCAAGTTGGCTACATCGCTAGTCTTGGCTATGTTATTCTAAGTTGTATAACAGAGCTTCCTGTGTTTCTTGTGTTTTGTTTGGCCATATCCCAGGCTGGGGTTATGATGATGGTCACAAGTCCCAGGTATAACATGAAATATAAAAATAATATGGTCACTAAACAATGGAGTGGTATACACCCTGTTTACTGGTCAAACTATCTCTAAAACCAATCAAAGTGGAGAAATTGTAAAGAGTTGTTTCATTGGGACAAACCCTGTATGCCTCATAAGTAAATATCATAATCTCTTATTCTGATGTATACTCTATATGTGTATCTGACTCATACATGATGAAAAAGGCAACACAAGGGTACGTGTCATTGTTTGCTGTCTTGTTTGGGTCGGTTGAAACATTTGGATTCGAACATACGCCAGAAATCGATGAAAAGAAAATCACACCGTCAATAGCTTCGATCACATCGTTCAACAGCAATCTTTTGGAAGCAATCTGTTGTGTAGCAAGTTCAAGGTCTTCATTCCGAACTCTCCATGTCGCGCGACGTGACTGCTTGATGCTTAGGTTTTAGCTAATAGATATAAAAGAGTGATTATATTTACGTTATATCCAGGGCCAAAAAAAATAAATAGTTGGTTTCAGGTTTCACAGCCATGTTTTATATGGGTAGGTAGGTCGGAAAAACATTTTATTTTAAAAAAATATTTTATCTCAAGTATGCAATAAATATAAGTTAAAACGCATTATAAACTCTTAGTTTTTATTGTTTTTACATCAGGTTTTCACCTGCATAGATATAAAACTTGACTGCAAGGGAACAAACAACAACTAAATATCGTTTAAATTCCTGACACCTTCACTATTTCCTGCCAAATGGTCTAGCAGTTATGGGCAGAAGCCCATTTTTTATGCAATCTGCACACATAGGCAAAACTGTTTTGAATTTTTCCTTTAAAGCATTGTTTTGGGTTGCACCCGTTCCGCCACAATGGCAACAAATATCAGCCCTGGAAATATCAGCTTGGAACTGTAGTATGCCAACTCTACAGGATCACCGCAATTTACTGACAGCTTGACATCCAGACTGACAGCTTGACATGACTTTTGTGCAGGGGCTTATCCGGCAGCAGGATATGCCCACCGCATGTATATTCTTCCAATCCAGTGAGAATGGTTATCTGCTGTCGTTCAGATCATCTGTTTTTACTGAAGACTACTCTTGGTTTCCCACACTCTGCACAATCAACTGTCATTCTTGCATGCTGAGCTGTAAAATTTGAAGGTTTTTTTCGTTGTTCCTCCTAATAAATGGTAAAGTAGATACAGTACATCTCAATTAATTTACGCTATTGTGATATAACCGTTCAATGCCTTTATAGCTACGTACATGAGTAATAAACAAACATACAATGTCACTGTACTGTACTGTACCTGATCATCAATCAAAAAGTAATCTACTTGTCTTGCTCGATCATCCTTTGTTCGAGGAAATCGCTTTGCAGATGGTCTGTTCAAGTCTGTGGTGTCCGTGTCAATCACAGCTTCCAGTGGAAGATAATCTCCTTTGTTGATGACTGGTCCGGCAACCATCTTAAGTCCTCTGCAAGCTTTGCTGAACAGCAATTAATGACATCACATTAATTTATCATCACATTATTTAATCTTTGCCAGTTAACTTAGATGGATCTTTCATTCCAGCACTGTAAAAAGCAAATACAGTTATATTGCTCAAAAATACAAGTGAACCATGTTCATGAATTTTAACTAACGATAATAATTTAGATTAGCATGAATAATGAATATTTATTAACAGCATGTCCATGCAAATTTTATATTCACTCACCTGGCAAATGTGCGCGTAGGAGGCAGTCTCTTCCTGTACCTCTGCAGAACGTCTCTGTAATCTCTCAGTGGCTTTTCCCGGTTATATTCAAACGTATACGTGAACTTTCAAGCGTGAGTTTCACAGCTTTTACACCCGTAAGGGAATTTAACTGGCTAAAAGTTAACGTGGAGTTGATATCTATATTCGTCCAAGGACCTTTATCAATATTCATCGCGTCATTCGATGTTGCTGCTGAAATGGGCACACAGCAACATACCCTATCATTATATTCCCACAATATGTCCTTTATTTGTTTCCCGTCGTTCAAGGTTATGTATGCTCTGATTCAGGCTTATGGCTACATTTTGAAATAACAAAAACAATCGGCGATGCCGGACTTTCTCGCGCCGCCATTGTTTATGAGTAACTGTCATGCGTGATCAAATGTGCCACACGGGATCACCCGCGAGCTACATGTGTTTCGCGAGAAACAAACGCATCAAGGCGTTTTCGTCTTTTTTCTGCCATGTCAGAGTAATGTACGTTTTTAATATTTTATTCAACTGTTCTTTGTGTAAAACTATGATTAAGATGACTAGATAATGATTAAATTATAAGCAAACAAAATAATTTGTAGACAAATTAGTCTGATGACTATTTATATATTCTGCTATTTACGAAAAGATGATCTCTACTGGAAAATGTCAATAAAATGTTTATGGTCGGTCATATTTTTGACAGGTCGGTCGGAAACCTGAAACCAACTATTATTTTTATTTGGCCCAGGCTGCGTACAAAGGTTTATTAATTTTCACAAATCCAAAAACAATTTGATGCAAACTTACCAAGGTTAAAATATTTGCTCGAAGCGAGTTTTGTAAATGTTTGGAATCAAGTTGCTTTTGTGGTTTGAGTGGCATTGTAACAAAAATTGTTGTCTGCAGCGAATGCCTTTCTATATGTTTTAGTATGATTACTGTAATTTACATAGGGAACAAAATTTTGTACAATGGTGGTGATGGTGGTGATGATGGCGAATACACACGAAGGTTAAGAAGGAGAGTGAGAAGAGTTGGAGTACGACGACAAGCCGGACAAGGTGTGCTCGGAGATATGGAAAACCTTACCTTCCGTAAGATCGAAGACCACCTTACCATCATCAGTGGCCAATTGGTTCTGCCAGCACAAACAGGCGGCACAGAACAGGCGATGATTCAACACCTCTGGGCATTATCCGACAGGGCAGCCCTTCATCCCCAATCGATATCCTTCCTTATTCATCTCAACGTTGCCAAACAGTGCCACACTATCGCATGCGGAAGACGTCTACACATATCGAGATGGATAGCACTGCAAAGGCAGGACAACAGAGAGAATCCAGAATGGAACAGGCAGTTCACTGGTTCTCTCCCAAATGATGTCCTGCTTTTGTGGCAGGTTTTTCGTATGCCATGTTTGCAATTGTTGGAGATTGGCTATGCCGCTTCGTATCGTCCTCATAGACTTAAGGATATTGTCTGTTTGTGCCAACAACTCGTCAATGATTGCCAGCCCCTACGACAGTGCGTTCTCATTGCGCAAGAACAACTGCAAAAGTACGTAATTCAAAATGTACCTGTTGGCTAAATCGAGTTGCAAAGTTGGCTAAATCGAGACGGGGATGTTGTCATAAATGACCAGTCATTGTCCGCCTTGCTCTGGGGAAACATCGAAGCGAAGATTGGCAGGCGCGGGAAATTGCTGGAAATAAATTTAAATTTGTTTTGTTTGAAAGAACTCTTATAATTGTATAATTGTATATGAAGATGCTTATTATTGTATTTTCAGTATGTAAGCTAATAATTATACGGAATGTTGTTAATAACTTATTAACATGTATGTACATCTCTTCTTGAAATACCACATAGTTATGTTAACAGGGACATCCCTGTGTTGTGACCATCATAACATATCCCAGGCTGGGGTTATGATGATGGTCACAAGTCCCAGGTATAACATGAAATATAAAAATAATATGGTCACTAAACAATGGAGTAGTATACACCCTGTTCACTGGTTAAACTATCTCTAAAACCAATCAAAGTGGAGAAATTGTAAAGAGTTGTTTCATTGGGACAAACCCTGTATGCCTTATAAGTAAATATCATAATCTCTTATTCTGATATATACTCTATATGTGTATCATTCAAGAATATCATTACATTCTGGCAATGTAACACATGTAAGTAGCCTTAATATATTGCTCTAAATTAAAGTTAATGTACAGGTATAAACCTGTACTACCTGTAGCAAATTTATTTTCATTTACAGCTTAACTGCATATGTAAATAAACTTCCTAGTATAGATTTATGCATTTGCTTTTTGCCTATCTATTATTATATAAACAATTTAATTGTGCATCACTGATTTTATGAATTCTGTTATGTTTGGATTGGTCCATTGGTCATTGATGTCCATAAGATAATAATGGTCTTTGACCACATGTAGTAAGTTGGTCACATAGCTATACGATATATATGTGCTGCATATTTTCTTCTGCAGAGCCTCCTGCACTTGCAGATCAAAATGTTGTAGACGAGAATATTCCAACAGCAGCAAAAGAGCCTTCTCTTCAACAAACAATTGCTGATGATGGCAACTGATGGTATCCATATTAAGATTTGTGTCCATGGCAGGAATTGATGATGACACTAAGTTTAATTTAATCAACAATCACTGGAAGCCACCCCCAGATTTCATCTTTCCTTCTTCTGAAATTTCACGCCGAACATTTTGTGCAAGTTACCATACCACTTCTTGATCATCTCATTGAACAGATTGAATCTCGGTTTTCATCGGAAATGTGTAACCTCTACAATGGCTTCTACATTATTCCTGTTATTTTCCTCATGTGTAAAAACGTTGACTGGAAAACAGAATTCATGAAGTTCGTTTCTGCTTACAAAGATGATATACCCAACTGTCGGAGCATGCATGCTGAATTAGGGTTGTGGGAAACCAAATGGAAACAAGGCTTCGAACAAGTCACATATGATTCAGTTGCTGATACCCTGAGGAATTGTAACAAACTTGCATTTCCAAATATTTTTACCGCTCCAAAGATTCTCGCTGTCGTACCGGTTACTACATGTGAATGAGAACGATCTGTTTCAGCTCTTCGCCAAATGAAAACTTGGCTACGAATGGCAATGGTTAATTAGAGATTGAATGGGCTTGCTCAGATGCACATCAACGATGATATAACCGTTAATGTTGAAGAAGTCAAACACTTTCGCCAGGCAGAACCCTACAAGAATGCAATTTCTTGACATCCTTGAGGACAATGAACATAGTAGGCAAACCAGCACTTCCAAAAAGTAGTCTTACTGCATGTTGGAATAATATATTGAGCTGTGCTTTGTACATTACTATTCGATGATCTGGCCATGGTGCTGCCTTTGAAAGATACTTTACTTTTAACATTGTTACTCAATGATCCTGTCATCATGTTGCCTTTGAAAGATACTTTACTTTGTACATTGTTATTGGACGATCCTGTCATCATGTTGCCTTGGAAAGATACTTTACTTTGAAGATTGTTATTCACTGATCCTGTTACCCTGCTGCCTTTAGGAAGATATTTTACTAATTTACTTTGTACTGTGCACATCCATATCACATTTTACTTAATGATCTTGTCATCTCTGCTTCTGTTGGAATATACTTAAATTTGATAATTTAACTTGGTGATCTCATCATCTCTGCTGCTGTTGGAACATACTTAACTTTGAACATTTAACTTGATGACCCTGTTGGTGTGAATGTGGTGCCTCTACTTTCCATTATTCTTGATTTGTTAGTGGAGCAGTGGAGAAGATGGTGTGTTGTAAGTATATGTTGTGAATTTCTCTGTGAACTTCCTACTATATGTTCATAGCTAATAAAATGTAAGGTGAGTGTTTTGTTTTGGTATATAGCTCATGTAAAGTAATTTAACTTCATTTTATAAAAGTGACATAGTTATGTTTTTTTTGTAAAATTTTCAACATATTTTGCTGTGCTTTGTACATTACTATTCGATGATCTGGCCATGGTGCTGCCTTTGAAAGATACTTTACTTTTAACATTGTTACTCAATGATCCTGTCATCATGTTGCCTTGGAAAGATACTTTACTTTGAAGATTGTTATTCACTGATCCTGTTACCTTGCTGCCTTTAGGAAGATATTTTACTAATTTACTTTGCACTGTGCATATCCATGATCCTGTTATCATGTTCCCTTTGAAAGATACTTTACTATGAACATTGTTATTCAACGATCATGTCATCATGTTGCCTTTGAAAGATACTTTACTATGAACATTGTTATTCAATGATCATGTCATCATGTTGCCCTTGAAAAATACTTTACTTTGAACATTGTTATTCGATGATCCTGTTATCATGTTGCCTTTGAAAAATACTTTACTATGAACATTGTTATTCGATAATCCCATCACCCTGCTGCCTTTTAGAAGAAATTTTACTAATTTAAATTGTACTGTGCGTATCCATGATCCTGTTATCATGTTGCCTTTCAAAGATACAGTACCGTCCAACGGAAACTATACATTTTTTTGAGCGAGTTTCGAGAATGTTCGAGCGAGAAACGCGACGCGAAACCTTGCGAGGGCGCTATCGCGACCTCTCGCTCATTACAGGTAATGACTCGCTCGAATAATTTGTTTTCTGCTTTCGCGCGAAACGCGCTTCGCGAATCGCGCTCAATAAATCGCTTATGAACAAAAACTTCATGGCAGCGAAAAACATAAAGGCTAGTTATTCAACATACATGTCGGCGTATGGAAGTCTTACCTCGTTTTTTTAAACGAATGAGACACAAGACGCTGTATGCTTTTACGTTTTATCAGTAGTGTCTTGCAGCACTGTCGGTACATAAATTATTCACAGATTTCACCTTAGGCTTAGCGAAGCGTTGAAATTCGAAAATGGCATGAATCGTGGTAATTCTTTCAATATTTCAAAGCCAAATAATTTATAAACTAACCTTTGTGTAATAGCGGTTGAAACGCCAATGTCAATGAAGCAGTAAAACACAGATACATGTGTGTTAATTTAAAGATTCAAACCGAATGAATGCTTTGCCTTTGAGGAAGTGAAATAATTTTAATTTAATACTCAATAACAAAACAGACAAAAAGCCTGTATCAACCTTAATGATCCATTAATAACAATATGAACTAAAAATAAAGTATGACAACAAAAATAAAGTATGACAATATCAACTACATAAAACTAAAATATGACGCGTGCTGTTTTATACCCGATCAAAATACGCGCCTTGTCCGAAATGAAGACATGTTTTTTTAGTATTAACAGAGAAGTAGCTACTACAATATTATTGTCACATACAGTAAAGCAAGTGTTACATTTTCGCCATTTGCATGCCAGTTATTTGACACGGTTTTGAAATGCAAATCGACCGGATGAAATATGCGTTTGTGTTTGTTTGTTTGTTTCTGATGGCGGGCTGTGGGAAACATGTGAAATGAGAGAAACTACGCTGTTATGGTATGCGTATATTTTAATTTGCTGTTTAATCAGTGGGATGAGAAGACTGGTAGCAGTTTAAAAGAACAAAGTACAAGGATTGGTATGTCTGACAGCAAAGTAGCCTTCTTGTCTCTGCCGTATACTGTATATAAAATATTTCTGTTTTATTTCCCGTTGATAAATTTATCGCAAATCTCACCAGAGACAGAGTCCTCATCTTTGCGCTTTAATATATACAAACTCGCCAATTAAAAACTTAACAGGTATGTAAAGGACTGCAAACTGCTGTTTTAAATCGTTCACATGATATTTACTCTTACAGTATATATAAACGGAACACGTGCATGGGTAAATACAATTAATCTGGACTGCATGAATATGAAAAAAGAATGTGAAACTAGTTTTTCATATCTCCGAAGATGATTCTAAAATAAATACAATTAAACATGCCATAATGGCATCGCAGTTTTTAATAACACATTTAAATCATGCACTTCACGAATACTCGAATCTCGAAAATTTCTTCAATTCACATCACGACGACTCGAATCGCGCTTCACGAAACTCAATAGGTAACGTGATTCGAGACGCTCGATACTCGCTCGAATGTTTCTCGCTCAAACGCGAAACGCGCTTGATACTCGATGTATAGTTTCCATTGTACGGTACCATACTTTACTATGAACATTGTTACTCGATGATCCTGTCATCATGTTGCCTTTGAAAAATACTTTACTTTGAACAATGTTACTCGATGATCCTGTCATCATGTTGGCTTTGAAAAATACCTTACTTTGAACGTTGTTACTCGGTGATCCTGTTATCGTGTTGTCTTGGAAAGATACTTTATTATGAACACTGTTATTCGACAATCCCGTCACCCTGCCGCCTTTATATATACTTTACTTTGAACATTGTTATTTGATGATCTTGTCATCATGTTGCCTTTGAAAGACACTTTACTTTGAACGTTGTTCTTCGATGATCCTTTTATCGTGTTGTCTTTGAAAGATACCTTACTTTGAACATTGTTATTCAATGATCCTGTTATCGTGTTGTCTTGGAAAGATACTTTATTATGAACATTGTTATTCGATGATCCTGTCACCCTGCCACCTTTTTATATATACTTTACTTTGAACATTGTTATTCGAGCATGATCCTGTCATCATGTTGCCTTTGAAAGATACTTTACTTTGAACATTGTTATTCGATGATCCTGTCATCATGTTGCTTTTGGAAGATACTTTACTTTGATGATCTCGTTATCTTTGCTGCTGTTGGAATATACTTAACTTTGAACATTTTACTTAATGATCTTGTCATCTCTGCTTCTGTTGGAATATACTTAAATTTGATAATTTAACTTGGTCATCTCATCATCTCTGCTGCTGTTGGAATATACTTAACTTTGAACATTTAACTTGATGTTGGTGTGAATGTGATACCTCTACTTTCCATTATTCTTGATTGGTTAGTGGAGCAGTGGAGAAGATGGTGCGTTGTAAGTATATGTTCTGAATTTCTCTGTGAACTTCCTACTATATGTTCATAGCTAATAAAAGGTAAGGTGAGTGTTTTGTTTTGGTATATAGCTCATGTAAAGTAATTTAACTTCATTTTATAAAAGTGACATAGTTATTTTTTTTTGTAAAATTTAATCCAAATTTTCAACATATTTTGCTGAAAATTTGGCAATTTTTATTATGATTTCGAAGTCGAAATTTATATAAAAAGTTCGCTCAGAAATTGCATTTCCAAGGTTCTAGATTTCATTTCCGAGGTATTATGCATCACTCAGTCAAAACCATGGATCCGCCCCTGATTATATTTATATTTTAATAAAAAAATATATAATTTATTGTAATATTTAAATTTCAGCAACAGAATATATTATAGTAGGTTCAGGGACGTGCTGACCAATATGTCTTTGGAGGGGGTGAACTCAAAAGTTTGTACTCCTTTTGTCCCCCCCCCCAAGCAGGGGGGAGGTTTAAGTTATCCTGAAAATAAAAGGCACAAAAAACGTTTTCTTATTAAACCATTGTTGGATAAAAGGGGGTTAAAATACGTTTTCCAGAATTTTTTCAACCTCAATTTTTCATAATATTGCCAAATATTTAACACGTTCCACAATTCTAGCATTTGGGGGCCCTATCCCTGGAGAAATTGGGTCCCCTTCCCAACTTCGCTTTGGGGGGTGTTACATACTTACATCCCCCAGTCGGCATGCCCCTGGGTAGGTTGTTCTGATTGCAATCGTCATTTTCTTTATACTGTATCTTGGTGAACTTTTCCTATTACCAAGATCATCCACCATTTCTATTAATGAACATTCTTTTGCAAAGACAGCAAGAGAGCTAATTGAAAATATATTCAATGACAATAATAACAACTATTACTACCACTAATAATAATAATAATAATTTTATTAACACTTATAGCGCGCAAATTAACATTCAAATATGATCCGCCAAATTATATCTTTAAATTTAATGCTTTTGTTAAATCGTTCTGATTATTTAACCCAGATCAGCGTACATTGTATGACAATGGATGTGTCCTTCATAATATTTGTTTAATAGGAGTCTATTCAAGTAGAAGTAATGTAATAATTGCCATATGCCTATAAATCATCATAGTTATTTGTTGTCAATTTGTTTTCTAATTCTAGCTAGTCAGTTTTTGAACACAAGCATGAAAATATTCCGATTTCAATGTTTGGTAAGCCATTTGTTATTACTGGAACAGAGATCAGACTCAGTTTACATGGTTCTGAAAAGGTATAGTTCATTCACATAATATTACAGCATTTATTACAGTACATGGTCCATCAGTAATGCCTATAGCACTTTATTTGCTGTTTATCACAGTTAAATCGTATTTCTGCGACTCGTATAGGATGCGAGAGGTGGTTGGAAGCAAAAGACTGTGAACGACCATAATTATGGGAGAAATCCCCGAGTAAAGCTGCAAGGAACACGAAAGCTGAATTGTCCAGCCACAATACAGGTACAGCATAACGATATATTCAACGACTTTGAACTGTCAGGTAATTTTTTCTCCCCCAACCGCATCCGAATGGCAAAAGAAAAAAAGCTGGAAGACCTAAAGAAAAAACTAGCTTCAAATGAGGCGATAAACTCATCTTCGTGGCACTACATCAAACTACCTTTGAGCACGGTTAATAGACTGAGTTGGTTAGGCTAGCCGGCATACTTAAAAGAAGGCAGCAAATTATGTTGGAGTTCAAAGGATTAAAAAGTCGGCGGTACGCTGCGTAAACACATTGTATACTTTTGTATAGGAGCGGGTGAAATTTCTCATCAAAATATCATATTTCGTGTCGTCTAAGGAAGCTAATTTGATGGATTTATATATGTTATTGTGTGGTGAATCTGTCAGGAAGCAAAAGGTGATGTTTGAAGGAAAATGAGTGATATTGAGAGCGAAAACATAGCAGATGTCGTAGGACCCCTTGAAGCCGAAGATGACGAACAAGATGTTGATGATCGTTTCAACCTATTTTTTAGCATAACCGTAGCTGAAACAGATACAACGGAAATTGACAATGAATTTAACGAAGCTGTTTCAGAAATCGAGGGGAAGAAATAATTCAAATGCGATAAAGTGTGCAAGTCGAAAGGTGGTCTGACAAGACCCACAAACATGGCGAACCAAAGAAACATGCGACTACAAACCTTGGCAACCTAGACAAAGAAACAGTTGATGGTTTTGTTGAGGCAATCAAAGCTCGAATTATAAAGGAAGATATTTACAATAGTGAGACAAACACCACTTTGGCCACTGTGAAACCTACCAAGGCATTGTTTGAAGGTCGGTTGCTGTTGTATGAAACATTTTGTCGGTAGAAAAATCAGAGTCTTTTTATGATCTAATTCCTCGATCGTGCGAGTTTTTTTCTGTGTTGGTGTTGTGTACTCAGGTGAATATGATGTTTGTGATGTTACTCTGAGTGTATATCCACACCGGCCGAACTTGAAAAATATGCCCGGCCACACTGGGAATCGAACCCACGACCTTTGGAATACTAGCCCAATGCTCTGCCAACTGAGCTACACGGTCAGGTCGGTTCAAGTAAGTGAAATTTCGGAACAGAATCTAGTTCCTTCGATACCAATGTAATCTAGTAATATGATTTTTTCTGTGTTAGTGTTGTGTACTCAGGTGAGTATGATGTTTGTGATGTTATTCTGAGTGTATATCCACACCGGCCAAGCTTGCAAAATATGCCTGGCCACAGCTATAAAATATGCCAGGCTATAAAATATGCCTTGAAAAATATGGCCGACGACTATCAAATAGCGAACTTGATAATGATTCAACTGCCTGATTTCTCGGTTGGCTTCTTCAATACGTCAAACAATGGGCAAACACAAGTAAAAGAAGATACTCCTCATGCACTCGATCAAGCTGAGACTGGACCATTGTCATATATTGCGGGATATATTATAAGCCAACTTTATCATACAAATACAACTAAAAAGGGCAGAACTAACGAGGAAATTCTTGCTACAAGTTATGAAATCGACTGATGAAACAGCAAATCACTTCATTGCCGCTTGAAGCAGAGGTGGACTTATCTCGCCCTGTGATGATTTGATAAATATTCTCAAAGTCAGAGGTGTCGTTTAGATGTGAAGTCAGAAAATCCAAGGAAATATTCCTACAGAAGTTATTTGCAATTCTGTGCTCGAGTCGCCTGCTGTGAAGTCGTTATGACAGAACATTGTTTTGTCATATGGCGTTGAGACTTCGTCCCCAACTGGCTTGGAAAATGTGATCAAACTTTATTTAAAAGTTAGGTCTTTTTCATATGCAAAAGATTACATTGCAAAGTATAAAATAAAAGAAAAACAAACAAAAACCAAAGCACTTAGAAAGGACTTGAAGATGTCTTCCCAAGTTGAAAAACGACTTTGTTAATTAAACAAATACTTAAACAAAAACCAGCACAAATGCTTTGTCATAACATTGTGCAACAAGTAGCTATTGTATGCATATTTACATATTACATTTGCATTTACCACACCAAAATATTGTTTGTTCAGTTTGTATATAGAAAAGTTTAAAAAATTTTAAATTGAAAAGTTTAACCACAATAATATAACAATAAAAATATACTGTGTTACATGTCCTTGGTAATTTCAATTCTCAAAGTAATACACCTTATGCATAATGACGTCACAAGGCTTGATGCTCGCAAAGAATGCTAGTCTTAGTAGTCATCGCCCAGGAAAATTTCGATAGTGGCCATTTTGAATTGTTTAATTTTCCTGGGCGATGACTACTAAGACCAGCATTTCCTCGCAGGCATCAAGCCTTGTGACGTCATCATGCATAAGGGCTATTGCTCAACCTCGGGTGTCCAAATGGGGGTTTTAAGTCATTACATGAGATATGTATGCTGTTCTCAGTCGAGACATTCAGAATTAAGTTTCATGTAGCGATTTAACTCCATTTAGAAACCCAAGCACTGTTTATACTGTATTAGTTTATATCATACTTCTTTTGTTTTACAAGAATGGTACAGAAGGCCAATCTAATCAATCAATATTTGTTGCACTCTTTAACCCATTAGGCTCCGGAGCTTCTCCATTGATGAATAAAATTGTCTGGCGTTAGCCAAGTAAAAAAAAATAGGTAGGCCGCACTGGGGTGCATTGCGGCTTAATGGGTTAATTAATTTTCTGAAGACCTCATTTCCTCATGTTTTTTGCACAATGGTTATTGTGATAAAAATACAAGAACATATTTTTGCATAACCTGAAGTTCAGCCCTAATTTTAAATAGGGCCTGACACAAAACCTGTCTAAACTGTGGGACTCCTGTCCATCTGGACGGGCAATCTGATTGGTTGATCAGCATCATGAAAGATTTCAATTGGTTGTAAGTTCACATAAACAATAGTTTTAAAAATAGTTCAGTCAAGGAGACAATTAAATTAAGGTCGAACGCATGCAAATTCCATTATCAAATTTCTTCAAATTTCTTTTCTTTTATGCTTTATGGCAGAAAATAAATCAAACAAACAGTATTTTGAAAGGGCTTTATCAAAATCCTTGATGAAGTTTGGACACACGACACTGAAAGAACAGCAAAACTAGTCATGTATTCGAAAGCTTGTTGTCGACAGCCAATATGTCTTTGCTGTTCTGCCAACTGGCTTCCGCAAAAGTCTTATTTATCAGGTCCTACCGGTGTTGTTTTCTGAGCTACATCGCCTTCTTCGTGGTACGATTGAGAATTTCATTGTTGCTGTTGTTAGCCTGTTAGAGTATATCCGTGTCCAGCAAGTTGAGACCTTGAGAAAGTTTGGCATTCAAGCTTGTCGTATTATTGCTTTTACATTATGTTATATGAAGTACTCATACTTATATAATATATTAGGAACATTGTAAATAATTAGATATAAATTATAATAAATTATTCTAAAATACAACATGGCGTAGTTGACAGTTCTCTCGAAAATATCTTGATCAATCCTGCTTTCATGGTGAAAGTTAAATGTTTCTTGTGTTTTCTATGGATTAAAGGAAGCAGGGAGTTGGAATAATAATAGATGCCAGAGGATTAGAAGAAATGGGTCGTGGCACTGGAATTATGAGGGAAATATTTACATTGTTTTGGTCCGAATTTGCAGACTCATCAATGATTGGAGAAGAGGAGAGAGTACCTTTTATCAGACATGACTATAACAGAGAAACATGGCAAGCAGTTGCTAGAATTTTAGTTAAAGGGTTCACGGATTGCTCATACTTTCCATTGCGGCTCAGTAAGGTTTTCATGTGCAATGTATTTTACAACAAAGCTTTAGTGACGGTGCCCATATTGTTATCATCATTAAAATGTTACGTTTCCAAGCATGAAGCAGAAATTGTGGAGCAAGCTTTATCAAAAGACATCCCTCTCGATAGTAAAGATCTAAAGGACTTCCTAAGCAATTTTGATTGCAGGAGAGTAGCAAGTCTTCATAACATCCATGACATCATGGAGTTGGCCCATAAGGAACTCATTCAAAAGCCAAAGTACGTGTCAGATTGCTGGTCTGATATTATTGCCAAGTTAAAGCTCTATTTTCCTACCATTGAAAATCTTGTTGCATTTTACAAAAGTCATGAGCCAACAAATGCGAAAGTTGTTGATATGCTACACACAGATATTACCAACGATGGAGAGAGAGAGGCATTTAATCACTTGAAGAAATACGTTAGAGGTCTAGAGAAGAGCAAGTTATATGCATTCCCGAAGTTTGTCACAGCAGCAGATATAATAATTACTGATAAAATTCTAGTCAGTTTCAGTACAATTACTGGTGCTGCTCGTAGGCCCATCAGCCACACATGTGGATGTACACTTGAACTGCCCAGCACTTACGCAAATTTCTGTGAACTTAGAGAGGAATTTAGTAATATCCTTTTAGTGGACAGTTGGGAAATGAACATTGTTTAATACCATATGACATTCTTAAATATTAACAAGTAATTATTACTTTGTTATTTTGTTGGATATTGTTGTGTTCATTGTTAAAGCTTAATTTGTTGTCAAACAGTTTACATTTTTTCTGAAAGATGCACAGAATGCATTTTATGGTGCAGTGTGCCCTTACGAAAAAATCCTATAGGAATAGAATTCCTATAGGAATTTCCTATAGGAATTCCTATAGGATCCTATAGGAATAGATTTCCTATAGGAATTTCCTATAGGAATTCCTATAGGATCCTATAGGAATAGATTTCCTATAGGAATTTCCTATAGGAATTCCTATAGGATCCTATAGGAATAGATTTCCTATAGGAACTGAATTCCTATAGGAATTTCCTGTAGGAATTCCCTATAGGAATTTTGCTATAGGAATTTTCCTATAGGAATTTTCCTATAGCAATTTCCTATAGGAATTTCCTATAGGAATTCGTATAGGATATTTGTATAGGATGTTATATAGAATATAGAATCCTATTGCTGCTATTATATGTTTTTACTCTGTTTTTTATAGCAAAATACAAAACAAGTGTAACTCCAAAGATCGATATCGATCTACATCGATATATATTGTTATCGATCTTTGGAGTTAAACTTGTTTCGTATTTTGCTAAAATACTCAGTGGTTATGTTTTTAGTATCAATGTGTTTAGCTAGCTAGGATTTCTATAATTCCTGATGGTCCCTAATGCAAGCATTCCTATTGGAATTTTATCCCTAATAAGAATATAAGATACAGCCAATAGTTCGCGCTTCAACTGGACGCCCTGGTGACTAGTTTACGTTTCAGAGCGCAAAGCTTCATGGGATAGCATCGTTTTATTTGTGATAAAAATCGTTTTATTTGGTGTTATAATTTTGTGCTTGGAATATTTCGTTGTTATTTTTAACCCAAACAGTGGAAAAGGAATCGGAAAGTTCTTAACATGTTATTCAGATGTCACAGGTAAGAATACTTTTGTATTTGACTTATTATTTAAGCACTTTAATTGCAAAATATTGTGGTGAATATGATTGTTAACTTGAGCCATGTGGGCCATGTGTCTTAAAATTCCGTTGAATGTTTGAATTTGCCGCGTCAATTTGCATATAAAACACACAAAATGTTGGTTTCTGGCAGTAAAGAAAGAATGAAATATAAATTCGAACCTATTATTGTGAATTCTATACTAAATTTCACACTATTATTAACAATTTAGCAATATTTTCTTTGGCATAATTTGGCACTTTGCTTAAAGTTAAGACTATTGTAAAGCATTTTAATACTTCAATAAGGATTGGAATCAGAGAGGAACGACAGCATTAAATGTGCTATTTTTAGTGTATCGATAATCAATCTTTAGTGTCCTCTACTGTATTTGCATTACTCTGTCTAAATTGCATTGCAAGATGATTTTACTTGTCAAGGGGAGAGTTTTTTAATAGTGGGTTTATAAAGAGCTTCACTTGTATAAAGTGATGTTTGTAATGATAGTGCTGAGACAGTGCCCCAAATGTTGTCTTTGTATATATTTCAAGATTAATATTTGAGCTGGGCAGTGCTTGTATGTAGCCCTGGCTCCAAATATTGTTTTCAACAATCAGCAAATATAACCAGATTCACTAACAATAGTCCATAGTTTATTTAATATGTGCTTTATCACTTTATATATTAAGCATAAATATCTGTGGCACGGCATTGATAGTTTTGGATGGCCTATATTTTGCCGGATGCCAGTAACCCAATCCAGCATATCCCTACTCTCTGCCCACGGCCATGTCTCTTCTTAACATACTATACATATTACAAGATATTATTTGCACTTCACTTGTTTGGACTAGAATACTGGGTTTGGTGGATAATCCAATATATATATATATATATATATATATATATATATATATATATATATATATATATATATATATATATATATATATATATATATATATATATATATATATATATATATATATATATATATATATATATATAGACACTATTTAATTAAGACCTATAACCAGGAACGATTGCGAAAAATGTAACACTAAATCGTCGACCAGGAATTGAACCTACAGCCCTGTGCTTCCGGGGCAGCGCTCTAACCAACTGAGTTCCAGAATCGCAGGGCCATAGGTTCGATTACTGCCAGAGGACTTAGTTTTCACTTGGATTATTCACCAAACCAAGTATGTAATATTACACCCTGCATTACCTTGTACCAATATGAACCTGTAGTCTTTGTGATTCATGGTGATTATGACAATAAACTATGGAAATTATCTTATATATAAAGGATAAATCTTATTATTTATTTAAAAAATTTCTGGTTTCTGATTGGCTAACAGCCAACTGTGAAATTGTCGTATCAACTCAGTGGCTAACCAAATATGGATTTTTCAAAATGAAAAAATTTGGGACGTGTTTGCGACGAGAATCATATCGACTCGCTGACGCCATTGATATGATGACGATGACGGCTGCCGAAGGACTAACTAGGATTTTTTTTCTTAATACAAATAAAATACAAATGGGTTCCATTTGTTTTGATTTTTTTAATTAAATAAATAATAAAACAATTATTGAATTTGGTTTTTGCACAATATGAAGAATTATCAAGCCCTCAGTTTGCTGTAACAATTATCAACCTCAGCCTTTGGTTGATAACAGCAAACTTTGGGCTTGATAATTCTTCATGTCATGCTCAACCTCATTCAATAATTGTTAAATATTAATTAAAAACTGTTTTTACATCAAGAGTTAATAGTCCCTTATAACTGACTGAGGAGTGTCTCAGTTTAGGAAGCAAGTCCATTGTTCTAGTTTTTTTATAGGGTATAATTTACTAATTATGATTATATTTTCAAATAAATAATGTTTTCCTTTTACAGATTCCAATATGATGGATCTCTGGTGGCATTTGCATGCTGTACTCGGAGCAGTATTAAATGTACATGAAGAAATCAATGGACTTGAACAAATGGTTTGTTAGATCATAATATTGATTGTGAAGTGGAAAGTGTTATAATACGGCATTGTGAGAAACTCTATTCGCCACAACACATTGCTGTGCAATCAGAACTAAACATAGTCATCTATAAGAATGACAGAAAATAAAACTTATGTAGTGCATACAGAATTTTCTATTTTTTAAATACATAATATAGGTAATATAATATAGTACAATTTTATGTCTAAAAATTTTCTAAAAGTAAGAAAATATAAGAAACATTTCTTAAACTGAGAACAATGAAAAATGTCATAAGTTAAAAAGATAAATAGCCTAAATTAGTATGTTATATGTAAATATAGCCTGTTATATTTGCCACATTTTTATCTGTAATAAATTTTTTTCACTAGTTTCTCTTTTTCCTTCACCTTGGCAGTTTGATTTAGAGGATTATGCAAGAATTTCTATATGATATATAAGATATCTATGGATCCAATATGAATTTCTATGTAAATCTAAGGAATTCCTATTCCTATAGGAATTCCTATTAGATTTTGGCCCAATTTCCTATAGGATCCTATAGGAATTCCTATAGGAAATTGGGCCAAAATCTAATAGGAATTCCTATAGGATCCTATAGGAATTTCTATAGGATCCTATCGGAATTCCTATAGGAAATTGGGCCAAAATCTAATAGGAAATTCCTATAGGAATTCCTATAGGATCCTATAGGAATTCCTATAGGAT